GCGCCGTGACCGACAGGTTGCCATGCTCGTCTTGCCCGACATCGTGAGCACCACACAGGCGACAGCGAGATGGAATAAAACCGGACAAACCATACAAAAAAGAATGAGACCTTCGACTGTGTGAGGTATCGCGAAGGTAGTCCGTACGTTTTTCGTCACCACGACACACATTTTCATCCACATGCAGGCTATAACCGTCGACATTGCAAAAGAAGGGACCGCTGAGTTGATCGCATCCGAAAACGAGGAGACAAAATCAGTCTTGAAGTTTTGCTTGTCAAAGTGAAATAGAAGTTGTATATGACTACCTGAAAGCCCAATTGTTGAGCTTACTGCCATTTCGAGTGAAAGTGTTGCGTGAAGAGATTCGAAGCTCGGTTCCACCAGAAGATGACGCCTGATTCCTCTTGACCAGCTGGCGATTGGCTTTACTGGAACATTCATACTGACGCTGTTTCCGAAGCAATCTCCTTCGATTCCGGTGAAAAGGTGCTAAGCTTTCGTCCGTCATATGAAGAACATCACCAGAGCAAAGTGTCATCGTCACTTGACTCGTTGGCTTGAATTTTGTTGTGACGATGATACCTTGCTCTGATGATGTCCGTCACATGATGGACGAAAACTCAGCACCTTTTCACCGGAATCGAAGGAGATTGCCTCGGCAACAGCGTCAGCATGAATATTCCAGTAGAGCCAATCAAGAGCAATCCGCCGTCGTCTTCTGATGGAACCGACCTTCGAATATCTTCACCCAACACTTTTACTCGAAATGGAAGTAAGCTCACTTAGAAATTCCTCTAAACCCAATTATTATGAAACTCTAATTCCAGATGTGCTGATATTTTCTAACCGACCTCGTAGGAGTATAAGTAACGTAATCGGATAAAGTGACAAAACACAAGTTTATCCCATCCGCGATTCCACCGTCAAATGTGATATGGGAGAGGTGTGCATAGCCCGGGTTCGATTATGATGATGATGATGATGATAATGAGACCCAGATGAGATGCAAACTGCCGCCCAGTCCAGCCGGGATGAGAAAACCTGGCGGGAAGCAAAGTTAAGTGAATTTTAATGGCGCCGTTGGAAAATTCAACTATTTATCTCTTCTCATCTTATACGACCTAGGCAGAATGGAATGCTTATTTGAGATTTGATGATAGTTTTGAAGCCTACTTTATGAGAATACATGTCAAGGTGAATCGGATCATGGGGGCATTTAAGATCTGGCGCTTGAGATGAGCCGTCGAAAGTGAGGTGAAGCAGAAAAACAATCCCTTGAAGTGGTCCTACCTCAGCGGTGATGTACAAGTGACTGTGTGGATGGCAGCTGTCTCATCGTCCAGCGGATGGATTGGCAACGGCAGGAGTAAAGTAGACTGGAGTGGAGTGGAGTGGAGTAGAGTAGAATGGAGGGGACCGAGACAAAGCGGGTGGACGCAAGGTGGGTCTCGGAGGTGGCAATCGGCAAGATGGATCAAGGCGAAATAACCGGTAGGGTCGTCTCCCAGTGCCTGTGAGCTAATTGAAACCGGTATCAAAGCGAGGCGGGCGGGGATGGGGGTGCGTTGCCAGCCGCAGCAGTTGCCAGCCCGACCAGAACTAGCAGATCAAACGCCCGATCGGTACGGGTGAATTGGCCGAATGACATGTGCAAGCAGGCCTGGATTGATGGATAGCGCGGGGTAACGGTGCAGGACTCTTGGGAGGTGAGAGATGCGACTAGTGCTCTGATTTGCTGTGGCCTCGTCAGGCGAGCCACAACCACGAGAAGGTACAGAAGCTCAGCTCAGCTCAGGCCAGGCCAGGCAACAACAGGTGACTTGTTAATCCAGGCAAGAGTTGTCAGCATGTTGATGCGTACCGAGGCAGGAGGTCCTAATCCATCTCGTTATGTCTTTCAAATACCCGACGAATGTGTATGCACGTGTATATACGTGTATGTATGTATGTATGTATGTATGTATGTATGTATGTATGTATGTATGTATGTATGTATGTATGTA